CCCGAATGACGAGCTTCTTGCTTGCCGCGGCCCCACAACAAAACCACCAGAAGAAACTTGTTTGGGTCGCGGATTGGTCGAGTCAATACGGAGTTTCAGTTCAAAGCGGCCCATTGGTTGTTTTTAAGTGCAACCACCAGACATTCTGGCATAGTTCTGGTTTGGTCCCACACTCGTGGGCCGGGGTGGTCATAAGGCGCAGAGCCGCGCCAGCATTCCTCATGAGAAGCGCAGGCCGCGACCACCTCCACCCACCAGTTCGCTGGTGAGCAAGAGGTGCACAAATGGCGCTGTGATCCTTCGTAAATTACACCCCCCTTACTACCGCGCACGTCTGCGCACGCAGACGCCCCCCGTGTGGACAGCAAGCTTGTGGAGCGGCTGTCCACACCCCAACCCAATCAAGAATAAACCAAACCAACAACGACCAAAGAGGCTTAACTGCTGTTTTGTGCCAACCGCCCGGTTCATAGGCTGGAAGCCTAGTCTTCGCCTTCATCAAAATCATCACTCTCCTCCTCATGGTCGCCCTCGCTTCGTGTGACTGGCGCGGGGAGGGTCTGTCCGGAGGAAGGTTGTTCAGCGCACGACACACACGACACATGACACGACACACACGACACACGAAAAAGCCAGACCTGAAGGTTGGTGGTACCTTCTGGAAGGGGAGGAGGCATTCGTTCTTGTGTTCCCACAGGGCCACGCGCACCTCGCGCACGAGGAGCAGCTCCTTGGCGCTGCGACACTTGTAGGCCACCAGCTCGCTCACCCTTCGCTGGTACTCCACCAGCAGCGCCAGCAGCGCCTTCTTCAACTCGTCGCGCTTCTGCTCACAACAAATGGTCAGCCACGCCTCACACCGCCTCGAGAGCGAGTGCAAAGGGAAAAGGCACGTACGGCGATCTGCTCGGCCGAGAGGTGTCGCATTTCGTCGTCTTCCTCATTCTCTGGCTTCGCTTTCTTCTTCGCTTTTCCTTCGCTCTTCTTTGTTTTCGTCTTCTTGCTCTTCGTCTTGCGCCGAGCTCTCTCTTCATTGTCGTCATCGTCATCATCTTCGTCGTTGTCGTCGTCGCCTTCGTTCCACTCAATGGCGACGTCGTCTCGGTCGATCAGGTCCTCGTCCGCCTCCGCCGCAGCGTCATCGCGCTGATGGGGCCAGACCCCGTCGAGCTCGTCGACCACCGCGAAGCCTTCCATGATGTCCACGCTCGAGATGAGGTCAAAGTACTGCACGAGGGCCGCGTCGATCGAGCCCTTCATCGACGCGATGCCGTCGTAGAGCAGCTTGAGCGGGTGCTCCTCGCACTCGCGCAGCTTCTGCTGGAAGTGGAGCACCTCCTCCCGTCGCCGGATGACCTGCGAGCACTGCTTGCAGCACCGCACGCTTCCCTCGGTCGCCACTGGTCGTGGCCCACACCACACCACACTCGGTCAGTCGTGTGCGCACACAACACGCACGACACGCACATGCGTGGTGAAGGGGTCGAGTACGCGGAGCTGTTCGGTTGACGGTGGAGCGGGCGAGGCTGACGGCGTATTTACAGCATTCCTCGCACGCGGCGCGATCGCACAACTTACAGACGTACTTGTCGATCGACAAATACCCAAACGGCCGTCTGTCGTGTGTCGTGTGTCGTGTGTCGTGTGCGGTGGTGCGTGTCGTGTGCGTGTCGTGCGCATGTCAGAAGGGCGGTGCTGAAAATGAAGAGCGGCGTGGCAAAGGCGAGTACGCGCAAAAGGAGCATATGGTGTCGGCCGGCGCGTAGGCCCACTCGCTGATGGCGCTCGAGCTCCACTTGATCAGCGGAGACACCGAGCTGGTCACGGTGCCCAACGCGCTCTCTATCGCCTTCACCTGCAGTCATCACCACGGTCTTGTAAGAGCCCGCACAGTGTGCGTGTCGTGTGCGTGTCGTGTTGTGTGCGTGTCGTGCAGGTGGTGTACCTCGCCAGCGTCGGCCCGCTGCTGCATTCGCTCCTGCCGCTTCTTCCTGCGTTGCGCGGTGTCGTGCTGGTCCTTCGACAGCTGCCTGAGCTTCATCAGCGTCACGTCGTCGCGCATCCTCGCGAGCGACCTGATCTCGTTGCGCAGGCTCGCGTACCCCGTCGAGTGGTCCCTCACGTGCCCTGTGCGCGGCCAGCCCCGCGCATGCGCGAATGCCACGTCAGCCGACGAGCCCAGGCGGCATGATGGGGAGAGAGGGCACGCACCGAGGGTCTGCGGCTCCAGCCGCGCGCACCGCAGGCACAGGAGGTCCTCGACGGCGCCGTCGTGGGGCGGTGGCGGAGCTGCTGTGGCCTTGGGGTCCGACGACGGCGTCGTAGGCTGCTGTGGGCGCCGTCGCCTGTAGCGGCAGTGCCGGTAGCAGAAGTGATGCTTGCATCTGCATCGACAAGACGGCATCGGGCACGAGGGATGTTGTGAGTAGAGAGAGATGGAGAGATGGAGGTGGAGGGTGAGAGTTATGAGCGCACCTGGCGCATACGCGGTAGCCTTGCATCCAACCGAATTGGACGTGGCAGTTCGATTCAAAGCAGCCCAGAATCCTCTCCTCGCCATCCAGCAGTGATGAAGGCCTCACGAAAGATGTCTCTTCCTCCTCGTCCAGAAGGAAAGTGTCGCAATCGGATCCATGTCGTTCTGATTCCCTCCTTTGTCTGCTTGGATTGGACCTGCGTTGTTTGTGCTTGCTCGAGGGTCCTTCGGCTTGGGCACCATCACCACAACTTCCGATGAGGAGGTGCTCAGCCACGAACCCACCGATTTCGACGTGGACTCGTAGTAGCCGTTGATCGAGTCCCACGAGGGCACGTACGCCAGTTTCCCCACCCAGTCCATCGGTCGTCTCGCGTTCTGTATCCACAAGTTGCGAAGTCAAATGGAATAAAGTTTGATTTGCGATCTTTCCTTCTCTTTTTCTTTCCTTTTCGAATCTTCTTTTAAATTCAATTTGAAAGGGCCAACCAACAAGATGTCGAAGGCTGGAGGCTAGGAAGCAAATGATGAGGCCCCGCAGGATCAACGATCTTTGGTGATCTGTGTTGAGCCGCACATCGCCGCTTCCCCTCTTTGCCGCTTTCGCCCACATTTCCAGTCACTTTCTGATTTATATTCGGCCGCCCACATTTGTAAGTGTGCTACACGGCAAGCCGCAGCCGTGGTTGGAACACAACGATCGCGGTGGACCACCCTGGAACTTCAACACGTAGAAATGTCTGCTCTGCAACCTTTCACACAAGTTCTTTAGACTTGCACCTGTACACGTCTACAGCCACCCGACTGCAAGGTGCTTCGTCTCTACGTTTTACATGGCGCTCATCACCTCCTCCTCCTCACCACTTCAATCGTTTTTGCACACGTACCGTAATACAGACACAACCAGCTGGACAGTACCGGTAGAAGATGAGCAAGGTGAAGGCGAGGATTGCGGGAACGGTGGCGCTGGCCAGCTCGCTTCCCCTCTTCACGAACTCGCACAAGGCAGACATCTCCATATCGGAGCCCGAGTCCTTCCGTCATGGCGTCCACATCTCCTGCCACGAGGGCCAGATCACGGTATGCACTGCCTCTGCTGCGCTGCCGCTCTTCTGCTCTTCTACTGTCCATTGCGCCAGCTCTGGCTCAACGTTGGGCTCCATCCACTACTACGCAGGGCGTCCCCCAAGTGTGGAAGGAGGAGATTACCGAGTGGGGTCAGGGCACCCTGCCCAGTGGTGCCGCGGACGAGCTGGTGGCGCAGCAGCTCCCGAAGGTCATCCGGCCCACCACCGACGACCTGCGTCCCTACATGAAGAGGCGCGAGCCTGTGCGGCATACCAGTACTATCTCGAACATGCGCGCCATGATCAAGTTTCGACTTCCGCCTCAAGCAGAGGTTGTTGACTCTGAGGGTCGCGGGCCGAACAAGTCGAGCGATACCGGCTTGATCGACCGGGAGGCCCTGAAGGCCCTGGCCGCGGAGACCAATGTGATCAGGCTCATCAATGATGCGACCAGTACCCTGGACTTGTCGTCGTGCGGCATCGACGACCTCAAGGAGCAGTGGTTCGAGGTCAATCGCGGCGTGGCCCGCACGCTCAAGTCGGCCGACCTCGGGTTCAATCACTTTCAGTGGTTCCCGCTCCAGCTGCTGCGATTCAGTCAGTGCCTGTCGTCCCTCTGCCTCGACGGCAATCAGCTCAGCGAACTGCCGCCCCACATCGGTATTCTCCAACGTACGGCCACCACCTCGAGGCTCTTCGTGCCACTCAGTGCCCTCAGCGTTTTGACCTCACAACAGGACTGGTCGAACTGAGCGTGAACGGTAACATGCTCAAGACGTTGCCCCCGGCCATTGGGCATTGCACTTCGCTCGAGACGCTCTCCGTACGTTCCAGCTAATTTGAGTGTCACAGCTTCTGATCGCTACTTACACGTCCCGCACACAGTTGAAGAACAATCACATCAAGAAGCTGCCTCGCGAGTTGGGCCGGCTTAGCAAACTGGAGGAGCTCCACCTGAGCGGGAATGCACTCTCCACGCTTCCAGCGGGCATTGGTGGTTGCACGCAGCTGCAGGTACAGCTACTCCCTCCTGCTTCTCTTATGTTCTCTCGCACTCACTCGTCGGCGGCCGCGACTGCAGGTGCTCGACGCAAGCTGGTGCAGGTTGGAGAGGTTGCCCGAGGAGATGGCGCACGTTACGTCGCTCATTGAACTCAATCTGGCTCACAACAACCTGACGGCCCTGCCCTCCGCCATTGGGCTTATGACCCGCCTCGTACGCTTCTGTGTTTTGTGAGCCCTTCTTCGCGCAATCATGCAGACCTTCGCCTGACTTCCGTTCTGTCGCGCGCGATACAGATCGATCTGGACATCTCAGACAATTGCTTGGAAGACCTGCCGGTGTCGATGGGCCTCATGAACTTCAAGGTCCACTCCACACCACCCACTCACACCTTTCCATCGTGCCCTCATCTCACACTCAGTGTCGGTGTGCGGTGGGTGGTGTGTGTTGTACAGAACTTTGCGTGTGATAACAATCCGCTCAGCGATCAGGGTCTAGTTGGGACGCTCAAACTGACCGTGCACCATGTGCTGAGCTACCTGGAGAGGCGGATGTACGCCCACATCCCGATGGACGACCACGAGGACTACATCGTCGTGCTGCGCGAGAGCCGTCCGCCCGTCTCGCCCATCTGCTGTCCGCCGCTGCCCTCGACCCCGTTCCAGTTCACCGTCTCGGGCCACGTTGCCGTCGCCGCACAGCCCATCCCGTCCGCATCAGCAGGCAACGGTAGGTGCAAGCCGACCGCTCATGGTGCTCTCCCGCCGCTGCCGCAGAGTAACGAGCCGAAGCTGGAGAAGAAGCAGCAGAAGAAGGAAAAGCAGAAGGCGACGAGGCTCGACGAGGCCAAGGCCCGAAAGACGAAGAAGGGGAACGACTCAGACGGTTCTTCATCGTCATCGACGGCCTCTTCGCCCGGTCTCGAGAGCGACAATGCGGCGGTGAGACAGCAGACGATCGTAGTCAAGGCTGACGCACGCGACACTGACCACAAACGCGAATGCGAGGACGAGGACGAGCTCGTTCTCCTCAAGCTGAATAAGCTCAAGTCGCTCTCGCGCTCGTTGGTCAACGTGATGCTCGAGATCGGTACGCCTCTGACAATCAATTTTTCCATACCCGTGGTGCGACGAGCTCACTCGGGCCACACCATACCTCTTCTGGGCACAGTCGAAGACATCCAAGTGGAGCTGACCGAATTGACAACTCTCGAGGAGGCGGTCGACCTGGCCAAGACTATCCGCTCGCTGAAAGATGTACCGCACACGACACGACACGACACGACACGACACGTGCTTGTGGTGGCTCGAAGCTCACACAACCCGGGTCGACAGGAAATGGTGGCGATTCGGTCTCGCGAGGAGGTGTACGCGGTGAGCGAGAGCTTGAAGCCAACACCGCCCTGCCACGACGGCGTAGATCGTCTGTCCTTGATCAAGTGCACCGTCTCCACCGGTACCCCCCCTTCGTTTCCCTTCGTGTTCGCCACTTGGCCCGCACTGCTGTTTGTTCTCACGCCCTTGCCTCGCGCGCTCACGCCAGCCCTGGACAACATCGCGATCACGATCCGGGCCTTGGGGAGCGCCATTGAAGTTACGCCGGACTTTGACTCCCTGTTCGTCTTCACGCGGCACCTCAGATCCCTCTACGAGCACCTGAACTATGAAGACGACGATGAAGGCGATGCTTCTTCGGCAACGTCGTCATCGTCATCTTCTTCCTCCTCGAGTCCGTAAGTGCCACTTTTGATAAAATTCTCTGCCACGTCGCAAGACCCGTACATTCGACGCAAGCTGCAGCTTCAAGCTGGCGGGCACTCCCTTTTTAACCGAACTTTTTCTTCGATTTAATGTACATATATAATAATAATAAATCAATAAATCCAAATAATCAAAGCGTGGTTGAAGGGTTTTTGAACGTGGGTGAGAGAGCCACGAATTTCTTTTAAAAAAGAAATTAAGGAAGTCCGGTCTTTTAAACAATAATTGGAGAGGGCGTTATGTGGGAAGCTGGTGCAGAAATTGAGGAGGAGCCCCAGACGCCACAGCCCATAGCGGCAAGACTTGACTGGCCCAAGGCCAGGTCGGGGCAGGCCATGACCTACGCGCCCTCGTCCGGCCTGATCTTCCTCTTTGGCGGTTCCCTCCCTCTCCCCAGCTTATTTTTTTAAAATAGATTTCTTCTCTTTCTTCATCTTATGTATTTATTTATTTATTTATTTATTATGAATAACCAGGGTACGACCAGTTCTACATGAACGACCTGTGGACGTTGTCGCTGGGCAGGACCGACTTTCCCTCCCTCACCGACATCACCATCAAGGTACACCGCGTCGTGTGTGTCTGTTTGTGTGTGTGTGGCTGTGAACGCACACACGTGTGGTGGGCGCCAGTACTGAAGTGTGGGCGCGCAGGCCGTGAAGAAGCAGCACGGCGCCAAGACCGACGAACTGCCCATACCCGAGGACCTCAAGCATCGCCTCCGTTACGGTGCACACACCGCCACGCGACACGCAGCCATAGCACACAGCACACACGCAACACGCCGAAATTGCTGACTGAGTGTGCGATGATCAGCCGACATCGGAAAACAGATGGAGTGGCGCGAAGAATGCTTGGGGGCAGCTCACGCCACGCAGAACCCCTCGCTCCCTCTTCGGACGACAGCGGGCATCTGCGTGGTGGACCGCGCGCTGTACATGTTTGGCGGGAGTCAGGGCAGCCCCGACAACAGCGACATCTACAAATACGACCTCGGTACGTTCCCCCCGTACACGTCGTGTTCCACCACAACACAATGACACGCAGCGCAGCGCAGCGCAGCACAACAAAACGCGATGCAACACAATGTGTACGATGAGGTTAAGGAATTTGGGTCCATCTGGATAGGCGAGGGAGCCGCGCGTCAATGGTCGAAGCTGGAGGTTAGCGGTGCCACGCCCAAGCCCTCCAATTACTCCAAACTGGCCGTCTGGGGCACCCACATTGTATGTACGCCGCCGTGTTGTGATCGGTCACGTGAAGGGAGAGTTACCTGACATTTTTCTGCGCACGTGTGCGTGTGCGGCTGGTTGTGTGTGCGTGTGCGGTGGCGCGTACGTGTGTTGCCAGGTGGCGATCAACGACGAGAACATGAAGGACACCCCACAAGACACTGATTCCTTCCACATCTTTGATACGAGTACACCCCCCCCTGGTCACCCCTTTTGGGCCCCCGTGTTCGTGCACAATGCTCACAACTAACACAACACTGCCCCGTCCAGCCACCGCAGAATGGCGGGGTTACAAATGCTCGGCCGCGCTACAGGCCTTCGAGAATGTGTCCGTTGGTGTGTGTGTGACCAACACCCCCCCCCACACGACTCTCGGCTTTCCAAATGATGAAGCACCTGAGACTTCATTGCGCTCATCACACCACATCAGGCATTGCGTTCGGCCACCTCTGCTTTGTGAGCCCCGATGCCACGAAGCTGTTCTACATGGCCCTGGACGACCTGGCCGCGACGACGGAGAGGCCTGCGGGGAGCGAGCGGCTCGAGTGGAAGGCGCTGGACCTCGAGCGGGGAGACCCGGCCATGAACCCTACCGTCACCTGCTGGGCGGGGCCATATCTGTTCGGCGCGTCGGACGACCGCCTTGGCGTGCTGGTCATCGATCTCGCCAAGGGTACTGTGACTCGCACCTGTCTGCGCTCCACTTCTCTCCCGCTCGCTCACGCCTGTGCGCCGTATGCGGTGGTGCGAGTGCGGTGCGTGTGTATTTTGTGCGTGTGCGTGTGCGTGTGCGTGTGCGTGTGCGTGTGCGTGTGCGTGTGCGTGTGCGTGTGCGTGCAGGTAGTGGCAGGTGGCAGCCGATAACGCTGGTGGGAGAACCGCTGAAGATCGCCGACTCGGGGGCTACGATGTGCGGCTCGCCCTCGCGCCTGGTCGTGTTCGGTTCGGCGGCACACTTTGCCCTCCTTCAACACAATGCTCGTATTTGTCATGACCCGCCATCTCACTCGTGTCCCTCCCACAGGCGGCTACAGCGCCAATACCGGTTACTCGCAAGCGACGACTGTACTCGATGGTGCGCCTTCATCTCGCCTGTGTGACTGGCACATGCGCTTGACTTACGCCGCCGTGCCCGATTTGTGAACTACAGTGACCGACCTGGAGGTAGCCCAGGTCATCAACCTGTGAGTGGCCGGTCTTGATGGACGTAACGCACAATAGTGACGTAAAAAGAGTATATTCTATTTTAAATATGTTAATTATTAGCCCATAATTAACTGTTTACATTTAAGGTGGCTGTCAGACGCTGGTTGGCGTGTAACACCTTTTTTGTCCATAATGACCGTTACGAGAAAACGAATTTTTTAAGAGCCCATCATCTTGTTCAACACAGCCATCTCGACTAAGGTACGTGTTCACGTTTCTGAGCATACGGTGGTGGTGGTGGTGGGGGGGGAACGGTGCTTCTCATCACTATTTTTCTACAGAGAAGGCAAGAAGATCAGAGTAGCGGTTATAGAAGAAGATGGCGAGCAAGGGAAGAGTCATGTCGGATGCGGAGAAGCTGTACCAGATGCTACAGCCGGGACCCAAGTTTCTCATCTCGCGTCCGCGCCAGCTCGTCCGACACGGCGAGCTCATGTACTTCAGCGTCAACACCCTGAGCAAGAAGCCGCGCTACTTCTGGCTCTTCACCGACTGCCTACTCGTCACCAAGCGCACAAGCGCTCAGAAGTTTCAGCTTCAGGTCGTCATCCACTTCAGCTCCGGCATGAAGGTCGTCACCATGCCCGACAGTCCCGTCCACGAGTTCCGCCTTCTGTGCCCTGAGAAGGTACTACCCCTGTTGCCCTTTCGTTGTCATCGCTCCAGAACACGATTGCTCACACGCATCGTGTCGTGCGTGTCGTGTCGTGCGTGTCGTGTCGTGTCATGCGTGTCATGCGACGAACAGGGAACGCTGGCTAAGGCCAAGCAGCGTCGGGTGGTGATGTGGGGCAAGAACCGGGAGCACAAGGAGGTGTGGCTCACGGATCTCAAGCACTGCCTGTGGAAGTCGACCGGCATGGTCGGACCCGACCCGGCGAGCCCCCAGGCTGCTCACGCTGGTGGCGCCTACAGCACCAAGAACGATGACGAGGAGGTGAGGCACATGATGAAGGAGGTCTCGCTCCGCGATCAACGGCCGAGCGACCCGCAGCAGCGTCAGTACGATCAGCCGAGAGGTGTCCAGCAGGGAGGCGGTGGTCGCGGCGCCGGCGGGTCGCCCGCCAGGCAGCAGCAGCAACGGGCGGACTACGGCGACGAGGAGTACGAGCAGTACTCGGACGACGGCGAACCAGAAGGGGACGAGCACTGGAGCGACACAGGCGCCAAGAGGTACGCACCGCCCACGTGTTCACTCAAAGCGGCGCTACAACATGTTCCCACTCACGCCTGGCCTCCGCAGTGATACTCTCATCTCATTCGATGATGATTTCCCGCTGGCGCCAACGGAGGGGCAGCAGCACCACTATTCTCACCCGCAGCAGAGAGAGGCCGGTTATTCGGCCCAGGTCCCACCTGGTAGGGTTCACCCCCCGCCTGCTCCTCTTCGACTTCATGATTACAGCTGTTTGCTCGATAATCCGACCGCCTGGTACGTAATGGTGATGTTGCAGGAGTTGCTCTGGCCCCGATTGGCGGATACCCCCAGCAGCAAGGGGCCGGGCAGCAGTACGCCGCTCAGGGCCACTATGCGAGCCACTACCAACAGCCACAGTACGATGCCTACTATGGCGCCTACGCTGGGGCACCCGGGGGCGGCTACGCCCAGCCCCAGCAACAGCAGCCACAGCAGTCCTACGCCGGCCAGCACGGGGCGCCGATGGCGGGTGCAGACGGTGGTGCCTACTACAACCAGGTCTACGGCAATATGCAGTCGCTCTACTCCCAGGTGCCCAGCTATGACCAGACCCCGACCCCCGTGGCACTGCCCGTCGTCGATGTCGGGGTCGCGGCCGGAGCCGGCTCGGCGGCGCCTGCCGGCTCTACCACCCCCGGCAGCGCGGCGGCTGACGACTTTGCCAGGAACGAGTTGATGGAAGCCACCAAGGTGGTGGAGGAGCTTGCCCTGGATCTGGCCGTCGCCCGTAACGCCGCCGAAGAACATATCGCCACCGCCGCTCCCGCCTTCATCGACGTGTCCGACTCCGTGTTCGATACCACCCAGGTACTCCTCTCGTGTTTTTACCGAAGCTTCACTCGATACGACTGACTCGGCTCGTGACTGGTCGGCGGTAACGTGCAGTTCATTGCGAGGGCCTGCACAGTGCTGCTCAGCGCGGCGAGTCGCGCTCAGTTGGAGCGAGGCTACACGGGTCGGATACGGCCTACCATGCGGACCCGAAGTGGGCCGAGGGCCTGGTGTCGGCTGCGCGGTTCGTGGTGGCCTCGATCGGGCACCTGGTCAGCACCAGCAAGCAGTACGTGGCGTGGGAGGGCGGAATCGGCAACGAGCCGCTCGCCGCCAGCGCCGGAAGCGTCAACGTCTCCACCGCGCAGCTGCTCGCCGCCTTCCGCGCCCGATACCAAAAAGGTACCATCTCTCTTACCACCACCTTTCACAAGCCGACTGCGTGCAACTACGACTCACACCCCCGACCGCACACGCACGACACGCACACATAGGGAATGACCTTGGCCTGGAGGAGGCGGTGAAGAGCATCACTTCGGCCACGCAGAAGTTGGTGGAGGACGCCAAGGCGGCGACCCCGACGGGCGGGGCGGTGGCTGCGGCACCGCCGGCGGTCGACCCCACCTCGAAGTACAGTCTCACCCAGCGCCAGGTGATGGAGATCGAGGCCCAGGCCCGCATCCTCAAGCTAGAGAAGGAGGCTCAGGCCGCGCGGCTCGAGCTCAATCGGCTCAGGAAGGCCGAGTACGCCGGCAGCCAGAAGTGAAGCGACGATATATAAGCCGATTAACGTGCAATATGTTGCCTTTATATGCTTGCTTATACTGTTTGCTTCTATTGTTCGTTGATTGGAGGGAAGGGGTGGACCGTTTGAAGAACTTCACAAGAGTGCAAGTGTGAAGCCGATCGCTGCTCCCTGGACTGCCACAGCATAGCTGGAGGGCGTGGTACCAGGGGCGCCCACAAGAAATAAGTCTAATCTTGAGTTGTGAGGCACATGGGAGGCCTCACTACCAGAGATTAAGCTGATAAGAACAGATACTTCAGATGATCTTAGCCACTGGGGCCGAGAAGATATCTTTCCTCATAGTAAGGACCTCTATTTATATCAATCCTCCAAGTGTGCATAATGAAGAACTGAAAAGTTAGGTCTTTGTCCCAAGCTCGTCTCTTCGACCGAACAGACGGAAGAAGCCACCTTAACGCAGCTTCTTCGAAAATCCCAGAATTGGCTCTCTTGGGCTTTCTGTGAAGACAAAAAATAAAATAAAATTAAAAACAGATAGCGCGCCAAAAAGGGGCACAAAACGCGAGATTGGTGGGCGAGGCGATCTCTCCAATTCGTACAGAGATGAGCCAGACGCCGAGCCCGCCGGGAGGGGGCAAGAGGAAATTGAAACGGAGTGGCGGCAAGAATCGAAGACGGCATACGTTGGCCTCTGCAGGTCCGCTCTTCCCCACTTCCAGCAGCAGCAGTTCATCATCTCCATCTCCATCTTCTCCTGCTGCATCCATCGATGGGGATGCGGAGAACATTCGAGTCGTTTGTCGATTTCGACCCCCATCCGACCAGGAGCTGTCTCAAGGTGTGCCACTTTCTTGCCCACCCACCACCGCTTCTTGGAATCCCGGTGCCATAACACATCTCTACGTCATCTTGCAGGAGGCGCACACTGTGTGAGCGTTGGCGGCGACGGACAGACGGTGACCTACGAGGTTTGTCGTCCTCTCACTTTGCCTATTCTCTTCTTCATGAAGGAGCTGCTCCTCACATCGTGTGCACCTTCGTGTGTGCCTGTGGCCTTCTCAAGTCCGAAAGCGGGAAGACCCAGAACTTCACCTTCAACCGAGCGTTCGGCGAGTACGCGCTCCAAGAAGAGGTCTACGAGTACGCCGCACAGCCCATGGTGGAAGGTATGCGCCTCTCTCTCTCTCTCTCTCTTTCTCTTTCTCTCTGGGTCCATCTTTTTCGTAGTTGTTGATCTTCCCAACTGTGCTCTGCAGATGTGTTGAACGGGTTCAGCGCTGCCATCATTGCCTACGGCCAAACGGGTGCGGGGAAAACATACACAATGCAGGTACCTGGCGTTCTGCTTTCTCTTCAGTAGCTGTTTCACACCAAGTGCGATTGTGTGATGCGTGTGTGTCGTGTGTGTCGTGTGTGTCGTGTGTGTCGTGTGTGTCGTGTGTGTCGTGTGTGTCGTGTGTGTCGTGTGTGTCGTGTGTGTCGTGTGTGTCGTGTGACGTCATCATTGAATGGCAACGAAAGGGCCCGGGTTTTGATGATCCCAAGCTGCACGAGCTGGGCTACGATGAGGGAATGAAGGGCATCATCCCGCGGGTCATGGAGGAGATCTTCTTTCAGGTGGCCCAGGCCCCGCCGCACATACAAATCGACGTCTGCGCCTCCTACCTCGAGATCTACATGGAAAAGACACGGGACTTGCTCGGTACGTCCCACTATGTCCCCCTATATATATATATATATATATAAATGTACATAATAGTGCCGCAATATATGCTGAATATGAATATATAGTTTTGTGCATATGTATTGGCACTCACGATATAATGGTGTGATGTATTCAACGAGGGCAGCTCCGCACAGGCAGCTGGAGATATTGGACCAGCCCGGTGGCGGCGTGATTGTGACGGGCGCCGAGGTGCTGACGATGCTGTCGAGCAACGAGATCATCGCGACCATGCAGCGCGGCGCGCGCAACCGCATGGTGGCCTCGACCAAGTCGAACGACGAGAGCTCGCGCGGACACGCCATATTCCTCATCACCGTCACCAAGCACGACGCCGTCAACCAGCTCACCCAGAAGGCACAGCTGTACCTCGTCGACCTGGCCGGCTCCGAAAAGGCCGACAAGACCGGTACGCACACCCAACATAGTTGCGCGTGTGCGACGTGTGCGGTGGTGCGTGGCGTGTGTCGTGTGCGGGAACGCAACACTTGCGCGGCTCACTCGCTAATCAATCAATCAATCAATCAATCGCGCCCAGGTGCTGAGGGCCTGCGTCTGGACGAGGCCAAGAAGATCAATCAGTCGCTGCTGGCGCTCGGTAACGTCATCTCGGCGCTGAGTTCGGGCGACAAGCGACACGTGCCCTACCGAAACAGCAAGCTCACGCGGCTGCTCAAGAACAGGTGCCACAACACACAACACACCACACACACACACACACACACAACTGAATCACGAGATTTGCGCGCTGACTTGGAGCACCGTTCATTGTTCTGAATGAATGCAGTTTGGGTGGCAACGCGCGGACGACGCTCATCGTCAACTGCTCGCCGAACAGCGTAAACGCCCTCGAGACCCTCTCCACCCTTCGCTTCGGCGACCGGTACGTAGGGCTGCGTTCGTCGTCGTTGTGGCATTTTTCACCGAATATTGACCATAACTTTTGTTTGCATTTCAATACTCTCCAGGGCGAGCCGGATCAAGAACAAGCCGGTGGTCAACCAGCACCGCTCGGTGGAGGTGCTGGAGGCTCTGCTCAAAGAGTCGGAGCGGAAGAACGAAGAGCAGGTGCGCCACCGCCACCTCCAAGACACCTTTAAGGTGTCGAATTCTTTAAGGTGTCGCAGTGTCACTTGCGACTCACACACACGCACACACTCTCGCTCTCGTGTCCTGCGTGCCCCCAGGCCCGATTCATTCAGTACTTGCAGGCCGAGCTGGAGCGGCTGAGCAACAACAACAACAACAGCGCGTCGGGCTCTGCGGCAGATCACCCGGCCGGCGACCGAGGCCAGTCGCAGGAGCAGCCCGCCGTGTTGAGGGGCGGGGGCAAGGGCAAGGGCAAAGAGAAGCTGCACGACGAGTGCGACGGCCTGCTCTACGTCGACGCAGACAAGGAGAACCGGGTGCCCACCACCACCACCCCTGTCGGGCCGCCGCCGCCAGCGAGCTACGACAGCGCCCACCACCAGGCGGAGGGGGAGGAGTCAGCGCGCAAGGAGCAGCACGACGAGCGGGTGGCCCAGATCACGCCGCTGACGAGGCGGCCGGTCATTCATGGGAATGTGAACCACCGACACCGGCAGGAGATGCTGCACTACGTGTGCCCGCTCACGCGCGGCATCTTCAAGGACCCGGTGTTCTGCGCCGACGGACACACCTACGAACGGCAGGCCATCAAGCTCTACCTAAAGGGGTACCACCGATCGCCGCTCACAGGTATGCTTTGTATGCCGTGTGTCGTTGGTCGTGTCGTTGGTCGTGTGTCGTTGGTCGTGTCGTGCCGTTGGTCGTGTCGTGTCGTGTCGTGTCGTGTCGTGTCGTGTCGTGTCGTGTCGTGTCGTGTCGTGTCGTGTGTCGTGTCGTGTCGTGTGCCACATGAGTAACACACAATGTGCACTTGCAGGTCAGCGATTGGACCACAAGAAGCTCACGCCCAACTACCACCTGCGGAAGCTGCTGGCGGCAAAGCGGGACTGCGACCCGGTCTTCTCGACGGTCAACTTCTTCGCGGTGCTGCCCTACGAGCTGCTGTGCCTCATCTTCAGCCAGCTCGATGCCGTGTCCCTTGGCCGAAGCATGATGGTCCGTTCCTTCTCCCACCAATGATAGATTTGTCTTGCGATCTGTCTGACACGCACACGCACACGCACCACCGCACACGCACCACCGCACACGCACATGGTTGCAGGTATGTCGCATGTTCGAGGAAGTGCTCCGAGACGATGTGTTCTGGCGACAGATGTTGGTGCGCGACGCGCCGGACAAGGAGGCCAACAAGAACGATCCACGACCACGCGAGCGCTACGTCAAGCTCTTCCTCGACCGCCGCGCCGCGCTCCGGCAGGCCAAACGCCTGACCACCGCCGCCGTTTTGCCGCTGGGCCACACCGGTGCCCTCACCCTCTTTCGCACATGATAGGCCTGTACAATAAGATTTCGGAGACTTTTTAGCCACTCGGCGCTTTGCAAAAATCTCCTCGGAGTTGTTTTCTCTTTCACCGAAGCTTCGTTTTTGGTCCCAAATGGAGCAGAGCAGGGTACAGTCTGCAGAAGAGATGGAGCGGCCACGGTGCAGTGCGGCGGGGTGCGGCAACTTTGCTGCGGGCTTCTGGGGTGATGAAGGTGACGGTGGGTTGTGCAAGGCGTGCCGTAGGGGCGAGGGACCGGACTCAGCCAAGCGCAAGCGCGAGGCCGAGCTGGAGCGGGCGGCCGAGGCCGAGGCGGCGCGGAAGAAGCGGGCGAAGCTGCGGGACTACCGCGAGGCCCAGGCGCCTTGCGTGGGGTGCGGCGGCCGCGAGATGCTGAGCGTCGAGGCCCGGTCGGGCCAGTGGAACCGCTACACGCTGCCGTCGGGCGAGGAGCGGGAGGGCTGCCTCCCGCAGCTGCCCGGCATCGCGGACGAGGTGGTGGGCGTGGTGATGAAGCTCTGCGTGGACTGCGGCACTATCGTCGGCTTCGACTCAGCAGCGCTCAAGGCCGCCATCGCCCGAGCCGAGGTCATCGAGGAGTAGCTAGTGCGCGTGGAAGGGAAAGATAACTGGTTGTGCTTCATCATAGCACCAATCTCCATTTCATGTAGAATTACATTACACGCTGGCCAGCGTGCTGTGGACCCGCTTTGCCCCCTTTTGCTTCTTCTCCTTTTGGTCCTTCTTGTCCTTCTTCCTCTCCTTCTTGTCCTTCCTCTTCTCCTTCTTGTTCGTCGCCTTGCCACCGTCTTGCTCATCATCCGCCGCCGCGCTGCTGCTTCCGGTCCGCCCGGCCCGCGGGGTGTTGACGGCACTCACGTCCGCCTCCTCTGAGATGGCCGACAGAGACGACGCGCCGCCCGAGACGAACGACGACAGGGAGGACGTGGCGGCGTCCATGCTGCCCTTGCGCCCGCCGCCGCGCGGTGTGGGCTTGGTGGCGCTGTCGGTGCTGGCGCTGCGCTCCTTGCTCACCGCCTGCTTGCCGCCGCCGGTGGAGCTCTCGGCGCTGCCGCTCCGGCGCCGTACGAGCCGCGGCGTGATCGCGGCGTAGGACGAGCCGGCGGACGACGGCGCCGACGACGATGGCGACGATGACGACGACGACGACGCGCCGCTCGGGAACTGGCTCAGGTGGTGGTTGTAGTTGTTGTCGAAGCTCTCGCACCGCTCCTTGCCGCCGCCGCCGCCGGTGAAGAAGCCGCCGACGCTGCCGCTGCGGTCTTTGGTGAGCAGCACCGGGATGTCGGGGTTGGAGGCCGACCGGCTCTTCAGATCCTTCTGTCGCCGCGCCAGCAAGCCCACCGACTTCTGTTCGACAATACGTGTGCGTGTCGTGTGCGTTGTGTGTGTCTCTCGGTTTAGTGCTGCGTGTGCGTATGTGCGACGAGAACGTGCGCGTGCGTACCCATTTGGGCGGGAGGGATTGCTGGATGAGTTCGGTCAGCAGCGAGCAGCGGGTGCGGATGATGCGCTCCGACAGCGGATACGTCTGATACGCCGCCCGCTCGGCGTTCACCACTGTTCAACAAAAAATTAAATAAAAATAAATAAAATGGCGCCCCAAAAGGTCAGCTCAGCCCAGCCCAGCCCGGCCCGGCTGCGGTGCCGACACAAAGGGCAACGGGGCCTTCTTCAAAGGTGGTGGCGGTGGCGCACGTTTGGTGTAGAGGAATTCGGTAAAGTCGCGGCCCTTCTCGAACACGGGCGTTTCGGTGGGCAAGCGCGGGCCGAACAGGGGCACCTGCGGTAGGTACGGTGGTGTGAAGTGGGTGGTGAGCAGCACCATGCACCATCGAAAGCGATGGATGTGCGTGGCGTACGGGTTGCGAGGCGGTGACGGCCACACGGTAGCGCGTGACGTCATCCTCCGAAGAGTCGTCCTTCTGCACCACCACAAACACCTCTGCGCAGCGCACACACGCACGACACACGCACACGCCACACACGAATGCTGACGTCAGCGCTGATCCTGATTGGGGCGGGGGGTGTGTAGTGGCAAGGGTACTGTTGAACTGCGAGGTGAAGGAGATGGGCGAGAAGGGGGTCTTCCCGTCCACGAAGATGATGACCACGACGTCGTTGCCGATGTGCTGCTTCCGCTGCACCTGCTGCTTGTCCTTCGATCGATAGGGCAACAGCGTCGAGACGTGGAACCTGCGGTGGTGGCGGTGGCGAGGAGGGTTGGGGATTAAGGTGGCGGCAGTCGTGGCGTTCTTTTAAGGAGGCGGTGTGCGTACATCATCTCGAGGCCTCGCCAGTAGCGGTAGAGGGAGTACTTGCCCATGCGGTCGTCTGCGGGGGGGGGGCAAGGCATCAATTCGTGTTCGCTTTCGTCTTCGCTTTCGCTTTTTGTTTGTTTTTTTAACTCCGATCGGAGTGTAGATTGAGCGGGTGCGTACTGTCGGTATCGAGGCCGCCGCGGTAGCCGTGCCACCCCTTGAGTCGGATCTTGTCGCCCAAGCAGGCAAGGAACTCCTCGAAAGCGGGACTGCCCTCCTCTGCACCCACACTGGCATGAGTCTCTGTTCCGCCCGCACACATGCGCAGTCGTGTGTGTGTGCGTGCGTGCCGTCGTGCGTGTGGTGGTGCATGTGCGTGCGTGTGCGTGTGCGGTGGTGCGTGTGCGTGTGTGACTTTGTGAGGAGATGAACCGTTGTTGAGCATTTCGTCTTCGGAGATCTGTCCGTCCTTGCAGTAGATGACCCCGAACTTGTGGGCGCACACCATCATCCCCATCTCAAGATCCTTGAGCTGCTTGGCCGCTTTCGCGCTCTATCGGGCGCACACGACACGACACACACACGACAACGCGCCGCACACGACACAGGTTGAGCGTTCGCCCGCGGCGGGGCGAAGGGGAAGGTGTAAGGTGGTGGGGAGCGGACCTTGAGCTGATGAAGTTCGGCGTTTTGGAGGTGCGGGTGGGTGGTCTTCTTGACGCCCTGCAGGAGACCGCTGGTGGTGGGGTAGTGGGCGATACGCGACACCCGACCTGACGGGTCCCCGATAGCGCCGAGCAGCGATCCCTGCATCGCCAGCCGGCGCGCGTGTCAGCGCCATATGTCCACCGCACACGCACACGCACGCACGCACACACGACACACGACACACGACGACACACAAGCGCAGGAGAGAAAGCGCGCGACGTACGTATTGGCTGCGGATGAGGAACCAATGGGCGTGGGAGAGGCTGTCCTTCTCCTTGGTGATGGACACCACTGCAGTGATCACCAGCTCGGAGTCAAATCACTGCGTGTGCGCGAGCGGGGCGGGGGCGTGGCGTGGCGTGGTGTGCGTACCAATGGGACCCAGGGTGGGGTCGGCGCCGATCATGTTGACGTGCGCTACAGCACCGATGAAAAGAAGAAGAAAAATGTAAGCAATGTCGGAATATATCCGCACAACGTGGTGATGATTGTACCCTTTTTGTAGAAATATTTCTTGTACAGCGGAGTGTAGTTGGACTCGCGCTCCAGGGCGTACATCTCCTCCTGGAAAGTAGAGAGCAATAATAAAAATCAATATGCACATAGAAACATACATATACATATAGAAACGCGGTTGCTTCTTCAGATTTCTAAACATATGTTGTAGCGCGTGGTCGACGTACGTATTCGTCCGGGGCCGTGGAGTCATTCGACGTGAGCGACATCTCGCTGGCGGCCATGCAGGCGCGCGGGCTGAGAAGTGAAAAAGAAAAGAAAAACCAAGTCAATGCCCGCGATCAATGAAAAGGAAAGGTATAATAAAAAAACGCACTTGATGCTTCGGCGCTTGGAGGGAGGGAAGAATCGGGGCGACTCGAGCAGCACGCCGGGCACCTCGGCCAGGTCGACGCAATAGTCGTCGATCCCGTCGCGCCCCTCTTCAATCCCTTCAGCTTCGATGTACCAGTCGGCACAGGGCAGAATCATCGCGTTCACATCATACTGGGGTGTGTCGTGTTGTTGAGATCGTGTTGTCGAGATCGTGTCGTATTTAATGGTACTGGACTTAATGATGCTGAGCACACACGCACAGTGGCAGGTGGCCCGTACCGAAGCGGTCATGTCGACATTGGTCAGCTCCAGGAGCGACCGCGAGACCGTGGACGAGAGCGAATTGGTCGAGGACGACGAAAGCGTAATGTTGCTGTACATTCCCGAACTCTGTAGTGTAATCATACGTAAATGCTCATCGGTCAATATATAAAAATAATATGTAACCTACACATCAGTCACTATATAAAATAAGATGTCATGGATATATCAAATATGAACGGAATGGTGAGCGTTCGAACCTGATGAATGGAGAGCTTCTTGGTCGAGTAGGAGAGGCTGATGACATCGAAAACGTTGGCGGTCGGGTCCGAGTTCCGCACGTCAAGGTCATCCTTGCCTGCTCAAAAGAACGAAACGAACAAATTTAAAAATGATTTAAAAAATGAAAAGCGAATAAAAAGCGACGACTATCGCGCGAAAGTGGTGCGTACCCTTCCGGATGTTGGGCATGGACCCGGACCGCAGTTTGGCTTTGTCGATCTTGCCGTCGTTCTTGCGGAGCTGCATGATCCTCTCACGCCACTTCGCGCCTGCAGTCTTTTTCTCTCCGCGCGGCGACGTGTTGCCCGGCTGTCCAACGACATACAACACACGCGACACACGCGACGCACGATTTCAGAAGAGCAAAAGAAATTGCAGTTTACAAAGTGCTGTTATGTACCAAAGCGAGGAACTGGCCAATGTCTCTGGACACTTCGAGCTGCTGCTTCTTCTGGGCCTCTGCTGCTGCCTTTTTGTCTGCGCACAGGTTGAGACCACCAAAGAGTGTTAGTCGCGTGTGCGTGTGCGCGCAACCATTGTCACAAGGGCTAGTCTGGCTCTGGTGTCTTACCGCTTTCGGTCTGGTGGAGGAACTTGAGAATCTCTTTGGTTCCAGCCTTCATGATGTCATCGGGAATGCGCGTCAGCAGATCCGGATTGCCTATTGAAAATATGACAACAAAGGCGTGAGCCATCATTCCTAACATTCTTCAGTTTGTAGGGAAGGTGTATGGTTGAGTGGTACCGGCGATGTTGAGCGAGCGAAGGTTCTTCAGGCGCCAGAGGCCCGGTGGCAGCAGGGTCAGCTTGTTGTTGTTGAGCGAGAGCACCACCAGCTCCCTCAGCGAACAGATTTGACTTCACACACATGAAACATGGCACACACCGCACACAACACGCGTCAGGTTTTTAGGTCCGTCAGCTGAGGAGAGTCGGCTGGGCGTACATGGAGGCGACCGGGCCGAACTTGGTGAGCTGATTGTGCGAGAGGTCGAGCAGCAGGAGGCTGGAGAGCTTGGAGAGCGGCAGCTTCTCCTCGCGCACGTAGGTGAGCTTGTTGTAGGAGAAGACCAGCTCCTGGAGGGACGAGAGGAAGCAGATCTGGGGCGGGATCTCGCCGAACAGGTTGTAGGAGAGGTCGAGCGCCAGCAGGTTGGTGAGCTGGGACAGGTCGGACGGGAACGAGCGGTGGTCGAGCGCGTTGTGGTGCAGGCTGAGCCCCATGAGCGACGACAGCGAGCAGATCTCGGCAGGGAGCTCGACCAGCTCGTTGTACGACAGGAGCAGGTCCTCGAGCGACACCAGCCGCGAGACGTGCGAAGGGATCGACAGCAACTTATTCGACGACACGTCCAACACCGACAGCTGATTCGCCCAAAAGTGCACACACACTGTAAGCGCACGCACACCTCGCACGCACGACCGCACACGCTGCACGGCACACACACAAGAGAGAAGGAGCAGCACCTGGGTGAGCTGGAAAAGCTCGTCGGGAAGGGCGGAGATGTAGTTGAGGGAAAGATTGAGCTCGCGCAGCGACTGCAGCTGCGAAATGGCACGCGGTATCTCCGTCAACCGATTGTTGCTGAGGGAGAGAGAAGAGAGTGAGTGAGTGATCATCAGACGAAGTGTTTCGTGCAACACCAGAAAGACGCGAAGAGTGAGTGAGTGGGTACCTAATGTTGAGCACTCGCAGGTGTTTCGTCGGTGCAGCACAAAGAGTCGGCGGCAGGGTGTCCAAGTACATATTCCTGCAGTCAACGCATGGTCAACACTCGGTCGATCCACATGTGCGTGATCATTTCAACCAATCGCCGAGGGTCGTACGTGAGGTCGAGGGCCTTCTCCTTGTTCTTGAGGGCGAGCGAGATCATCTTGAACTCCCAGGCCTTGACCATGAGCCGCAGCAGGTCGGTCTCGCGCGCTTCGTCATTGACCGACGCGCCGCCCATGGACTCGTCGCCGGTGGAGTCCGGGTTGGTGAAGCTGTCCTCCCGCTCCTGCGCCCACCGCTCCTTCTTGTTCTTCTTTCGCCCCGTCAGCGGGGGCTGGTCATAGGGTCCGGCGCCCTCCGCGCCTATCATCATACTCAGTCGCGGGCTCAGGAATGTCATTCCCGACCTATGGAAACACCGCACACGCTTGACAGTCAGCACTCGTGTGCACACACCCGCGCCGCACACGCACCACAACGCACACAATGTTGGCGGGACGCAATCAACGTACGCGAGCTGACGGTTGGTGTCCACAGGCGAGTTCCCACTCCTCGGACTGCCCGACAACAAGCTCTCTCTGCTGTGCGTCGCGTCGTGTTAAGTCCGATCACGGAGCGCCACGTGAAAACGAACTAAAAATGAAAAATTAAAATAAATTTTAAAAAAAGAGGCTACCTGCTGCCACCTCGGGGCGTCCCTTTTCCTTCCTTGGGCGATGTGCCTCGCGAGAACGACCTGAATAGATGAACCGGTCACAGATCAGCCCAGCAGAAGCAGGGCTATTGCCGGGTATAACTCGAGAGTCGAGTGGTAGATAGGCGCAAGCGGCCATACCCGATACGAGGAACAACGAGGGCGCCGCCAACTGGGCCGCGTTCAACCTCGACGCCGATGCCGCTGCCGCTACCGCTACCGCTCATTCCATTGATTTGCGAGCCGCCCTCGCTGTCGCTGGAGAGGCTCTCCATCGAGAGCGACCGCTCGCGTCCGCTATCGGAGTTATCCATGCCACGCATCAGCAGGTCCGGATCTAAATCACACGAAAACACACACGATGCACACGACACGACACGAGCCAACACACAACACGACGCACGAAAGCAGATAGAGAAGCTCGAGCGTAAGCCCAAGGCAGAAAGAACGAAGGCGAAGTAAAGCGATCTATCGGCCTGGTACCAGTGTTGACGCGGTTGCTGCGCCGCACCGGGACTTCTTAGGGAGGAAAAAGAAAAGTGAAGACAAGAGCGTCAGAATCGATTCAAGACGCACAACGCGCACAACGGCCGACAAGCTTAGGTTTGGCGTATGCTGTACCGTTCAGGGGCCGGCGCCGAGGCGCGCCGAGACGCGAGAGTCGGAGCGAGACCGATTCGCGCAAACAGTTGAACTGGCGCAGGTTCAGTTGCTGCACACACGAGCGAGCCACCACATCATCATATATTAATATCTCACAAAAAAGCCCATAATAAATAGAAGTGTGGATAATAAATAACCATTAAAATAATTGTTGTCATAAATAAAGTATAAACAAATGAACACTAAAACTAAAGTCATAAATAGCGAGAGAGATGGAAGGCGAGTACTTCGACGCCGAGCTCTTGCAGCTTTTCGTCGTTTCGCTTTTCGTCGTCGTCGAGGCCCTCCTTGAACTGGCCGTCGAGGGTGGAGAACATGTCCTCCGGCCGCTTGACGGTGGTGCCCCCGCCGCCAGCCGCCGCGGCCAAGCCCATGCTCACCTTCATGTGCACCCTCCTCGGGCTCTTCTTCTTCTCCCTCTCCTTTTCCTTCTCCTTCCTCTTCTCCTTCGAGGAGGATCGGTGGCGCACCCCTCCGCCACCACCTTCTACTCCTCCACTATTGGATTTACTCTCCTTGCCCTCGCCCTTCTTGCTCGTTGAAGATGACGCAGGCTGAGAGGGTGCTGATGATGATGATGAGGGGGCGGCCGTGTCATCCTTGCTGCGTTTCTCCTTGCCCTTGCCGCTGGATTCGGGCGGGGCATCGATGCGATCCTTCGACGACTCGAGAGCTCGGCCCGAGCGACTCCGCCGCAGGAACATTTTGTTATATTTATATTATAAGTTATTTCTTGATGCTTTAGCCTTTCTTCGATTCAAGCTTCTGGTTGTGTGCTGCGCTCTCCTTCCTCGCGGCCGTGTTGCTACCTAACCCCGCCAGTTGCTGAGCGGCACCGTTGCTGTTCGCACCCGTCGCTTCGTTCTCTTGATTTCTTTCTTCTTTTCTTTTTTGTTCTTGCTTTTTCCCGTCGCTTCGTTCTTGCGCGCGCCAGAGGAGAAGGTAGGGTGAGCTCATCGGCTGAGCAGGAAGGCCGAGTACTTGGGTAGCCACAAAGTGAAGAGGTTTATGTGTATGCCACAAGCATAAACCGGAGACAGTTTTGATTTTGATCATGTATTTGAAGGAAGGGAGGACCACTTGAAGAACTTCTCCAGATGTGCAATGAGAAGCTGATCACTGCTCCCTGGACCACCCCACAGCCAGCTGCAGGGGAACTTGGTGCCAGGGCGCCCACAAGAAATAAGTCTAATCTTGAGTTGTGAGGCACATGGGAGGCCTCACTATCAGAGATTAAGCTGATAAGAACACATACTTCAGATGATCTTAGCCACTTGGGTGAGAAGATATGTCTTCCCTGCTGCCCAGGACCTCCATTTATGTAACTCCAAGCTGTGTGCATAGTGAGGCAAGGAAAAGTTCTGTCTTTATCCAAGCTTTGGGACAGACTCTTCAAGGAACAGATGGAGAAGCCACCTTAACATAACTCCAAAGCCCTTTGACGCCTCAGTCACTTCATGAAGTTTATCAGCTGATGATGGTGGCACTCACCATGATCAAAGAGTTGTATTTGTTGATCGAGTTGTGGCCGGCTGGGATTGGGGCGTGAGGAGGCTGGCTCCACTGGCCGGTGGGAAGAATCGGTCCAGGGCCCACCTGCCCGTCTCACCCTCCTTCTTATTCTTCTCCTTGAACGGCTGACGGATGTGCAGGATGAAGCACTGGCTCTGGTCCTGGCGCCGCAGTTTGCCCCAGCCGGCGTTGTAGTGCAGATAGGGCCGCAGGGTCCCTTTCAGCGCGAACAGGGCCTTGCCCTGGTCGAACGGCTCCGTGGTACCGTTGACGTTGGCCGTCGCGTTCATCGCCGCGCGGGTGGTGTGGCCGTCAGTCGCGGCCAGCCGGGTCAGAAAGGGCGCCAGCAGCGGGTCGGCCATGTGGTTGGGCACCGAGCGCAGCACCTGCGGTCGCATGAAGTGAATCTGCGACTGGTTGGCCAGGTGGGCCGGATTGAGCGCGATCAGGCGCTTGACGTCCATGCGCGGCATGCCCTCGGCCGGTCGCGTGGTGTCGAACAGCTGGAGGAACTCGTCAGTGTCGGCGAGCAGCACGTAGTCAAAGTCGGCCTGCCACCGCACGAAGTGGTCGTAGACCCGCCCGATGAAGAGGTGCTCCCAGGTCTCTTTGCCCTGCATCGGGACCTGGCTCTCGACCAGGCTCACCCGCTCGGCCAGGCCCTCGTGCCGCGCCAGGCCCGCCACCACTGTCGACATGTCGACGTCGCGCGTGCACACCTCGAGGATGACGTGGTCGACGCCCACGATGTCGAGCATCCACAGGAGCCACAGCTCGTCGTCGGTGGTCCACGAGTAGCGCTTGGTCACCGCCGCCACGCGCGGCTTGGCCTCGTCGCCCTCGGCCCGCACCACCGCCACCGTGTCGGGCCGCTGCTGCTGGTGGTCGTGGTCTGTGCGTTGGTACCAGGGCGCCGAGGGGAAGCCGTGCGGCGGCCGCGGGCGAATGTTGATCAGGCGCTCCGGCGCGGGGAAGTGGAGCGCCTCAGCCAGCGGGAATCGGGTCACGTCGCCGCCGGCGAACACCGCGAACCAGGCCTTGCTCTCCTCCTTCCGGTGCTGATGGCTGGCGGCATCGAGCAGCACGGGCACGAGCGCGTCGTCGATGAGGAACGCGCACCGGGCCACGACGTCGAGATAGCGCGGCCACATGGCCTTTCGGTACCCGGTGTTGACCGGCAGGTCTACCACGCATGCCTCGGCCTTCAAGCGCTGCTCGCCGCCGCCGATGTCGCCACGCCAGCGCAGCTCGACGGTGTCAAAGGTGCGGTTGCTGGGCGTGGGCAGATCGACGAGTTCTCGGGCGACGCCCAGGACGAACTGGAAGACGCGCAGGCGCGGGTCGGCGGCCAGCCGGGCGGCGGTGAAGGTCATGGCGTGGCGCAGGGCCTTGGGCAGGTTGGAGGGGAAGACGCGGTGGTCTTGGGCCACGGCCACGACGTGGGCCGAGCCGGACGGCGCCTCGTGGTGCCACACCACCCGGAAAGGCGAACCGGGCACCGGAGGAAAAGGGGTTGTGGAGGGAGATGGAGATGGAGAGCGGGACGGACGAGGAGATGAAGATGGTGGAGGAATTGGTGATGAAGATGAAGATGGAGATGGAGATGAAGAAAAGAGAGAAGAGGAGGGCGAGAGAGATGCGAAATGTGGGGAGGAGATGGTAAAGAAATTGAGGAGGAGCCAGAGGGCAATGCCACCCTGCAGGAGGAGCCAACACACTCGGGGCACCCTCATTTTTGCTTGGTTTTGCCGGCGAGCTAATCAATCCTCACCACTCTTCTTTTTGTTTTACGTTGCTCCGCTTTTCGCTCTCTTCGCTGGCCGCTCGGAGACAAAGCTTGTCACCCACGAACCAGTCGCGAGGCAACCGCAAGGCCGCGCGGAGAGAAAAGGCAGAGGAAGCTGGTGTGGCCTGGCGTCGCCACCCGAAACCTGACCCCTCAACTGACGGGCATGCCGACGCCACTGGCCCCTTGCAGACTTCAGGGCTTTGCCGATCGGCTCTTTGTCGGTGGGATTGGTCGTCAGGCGAGCAATATATTTTGCGTCGACTGCGAAGAAAGCCAACAACCGAAGTTCGCAAACTTTGAAGGCAAACACGAACACAAAGAAAGATGGCTCTGCACCCCGACCTCTCTGATCCCGCTCTCTTCGATGCCTTCGAGGATGTGAGAAACGAAAACAGCCCCACCAATTGGTACGCCATTGAAATGGCCCTTCTCACGATTTTAGCGGCAAATGGCACTACTAAACAAATTGGTTCACCCCGAGTGTAGGGTCATCTTCGGCTACGTTCCCAAGAGCGAGAAGATCAAGGTGGAGGAGACGGGCACCGGCGACCTCACTGAGATGCTGGACAACATGAGCGACGGCAAGGTCCACTATTGTTTCATGCGCTTCAAGGTCAACTCGGTGTACAAATTCGTGTACATTGCGTGGTGCGGCGAGGGCGTCGCTGGCCTGCGCAAGGGCTCCTTTGCCAGCCACTCGGTTGATATGGGCAAGCTGCTCCACGTACGACCCCCCCGAAACAAAAATCCAAATCCCAACTCTGGTCTCTACACGCTACGCAAAACCTCACATCCACTGTCTGCCCCCCCTCCCCGCCGCCAGGGCTACCACGTCCAAATCAACGCCAGAAGCGAGTCTGGTACGTGACAACACCCCTTGTCTTACTTCTTCACTGTACTTATGTCCTCGCTCGTCTCTCTGGTCAACATGCAGACGTGGATGAGAAGGACATTCTGTCGCGACTTGCGAGGGCCACCGGCTCGCACGGCCGACAGAGCGACAAGGCGCGCTTCCAGGGCACGGCCTCGCAGAACGCCACCCCCGGCAGCGTGAGCGCATCGCAGGCGGCCATCACCAGCGACCGCTCATTCGGCGGCAGGAAGCAGGAGCCGCTCATCTCCAAGGAGGAGAGCGAGGCCTACTGGAACAAGCAGCGCCAGATCGACGAGACCACCAAGCAGGAGAACGCCTACGTGCCCCAGCGCGCCGCGCCCGAGTACAGCGCCTCGGCCAACGCTGCCGGCCTCAAGGACAAGTTCTCCAACCCGTCGTCCTTCGACCGGCCCGTCGAGCGCACCGCGCCTTCCATCCCGGCCGCTGCCCCCGCGCCCGCGCCTACCTACCACGAGCCCGAGCCCGAGCCCGAGCCCGTTCACCACTACGAGGAGCCCGCGCCTGCCTACCACGAGGAGCCCGCCGCTTCGTACGAGGAGCCCGCCTACCACGAGGAGCCCGCCGCCGAGACCTACGACGAGTCCGGCGGTTACCAGGAGGAGGCCGGCGGCTACCAGGACGGCGGCTACGACCAGGACGGCGGCTACCAGGAGGAGGCCGGCGGCTACCAGGACGGTGGCTACGACCAGTCCGGTAGCTACCAGGAGGAGGCCGCCCCGGCCGGTACCGGCATTCAGTGCCGCGCGCTCTACGGTATACCTTCTTCCTGCTCCGTCTAGTGGTGTTGGTGTTGACTGTGTTGTGACGTCGTCATCATCATCTCACACTCGTGGACGTTGATATAATGTAGACTATGCCGGTGAGAACGAGGGCGATCTGAGCTTCAGCGAGGGCGAGATCATCGACATCCTCGACCAGTCCGACCCCAGCGGCTGGTGGCAGGGAACCGCCCACGGCGCCACCGGTTTCTTCCCCTCCAACTTTGTCGAGCAGATCTAAGTCGCAGTCCAACGAGAAGGGGAGAGGAGAGGGCTGTCGCACCAGTTCGTGGTGCTGGCCTCTATCTGTAGTCGATTATATTGTGTGCCATACGAGTAGAGCGAACAACATGTTGTCTTTGCCTCCTTCTTGGTGAGTGCCATCACAAAAATGAGATTGGTATGTATGGAATGTCGGTGCGGGAAATGAGGTTGCTCCAAGCCGCCGCCCACCGACAACAAGCTCTTGGCGTCAAGAGGCGGTTATTTATTGCAGCCAACAACCCTTCACATCCTCTGCCTCTTTGGATTCAATCGATTCAGAGAGAAGCAGAAGAAAGGCGAGTCGGGCGAGCACAGAAAGAGCCTCGCAGGTGAAGGGAGGAATTTTTAAGATCAGAAAAACAAAAACAATTGTAAAAAAAGAAAGTCATCGAAGATGCTGAAGAAGACAGACAAGAAGAAAGACGACAAGAAGAAGAAGAAAGATGACAAGAAGGACAAGAAGGCCGACAAGACGGTGAGGAAGGGAACGACCGAGTCGCCTCGCGCGGCTCCTTCCCCGAGCGGAAGTGCTGGCGGATCGGCCATCGATGGCATGCCCTCCAACAGTGAGCTTCAAGAGATGTTCGAGACTCTGTTGGTAATTCCCTTCTCATCACCACAATTTGTTTTAATAATTAACAGAACTGTATGGGTTTAATAATTGCGATTCAAGTAGTAGCCGTGTTCATTGATTTAATTTTCTTTTCTTCGACCATGTCTAGACGAACTTGGGCATCGGCGAGGCGCAGAAGGAAGCCATGCGCAAGATGCCCAACAGGGACAAGTGGATGCTGATCCAGCAGAAGAAGGCCACCCCCAAGTTCGACACCCAGACGCCCGAATTCTACATCCAGAAGATGAAGGAGAGCAGCCTCAGCCTCAAGCAGCTGGAGGAGCTCCGCATCTTGCTCGGTACGGCACACCACACCACCACCGGCTATACTCGGCGACGATCGAGTTCTTGAAGATTAACACCACCGTCCGCCCGTGCCTAGGTGGTCAGCCCGTCGAGTGGGTCGAGAAGTTCTTGAAGATGGGCGGTCTCACGCTCCTGTTCGACGCGCTCGCCCGCAAGCAGAAGTCCTTGTACGCACCCACCACCACCATCACCACCACCACGTCGTTCTCTCTTCGCCTTTCGTTCTTTGGCGAACACCTTGTGTTCATGTTCGTGGTCGTGGTTGTGCGCTCATCTCCTTCCGGCAAACAACAAACTACAGCAAAGGAGGAGAGGACACCGAGTTCATCAACGAATGCGCCCGGGCCCTCAAGGCTCTCATGAACTCGCAGGTAACGTGCTCCACCACTGGGCTTAAGTCAGACGATTTCCTGAAGTGTGAACATGAACGCGCACTCACATTCTCGCCCCGGACCTGTTGCTCATCTGTAGCCCGGTCTCGAGGCCGTGATCACGTCCGAGAGCTCCATTCCGTGCTTGGGCGAGACGCTCGACTATGTCACCGGCAGGATGAAGACCGTCATCGTTGAGGTCCTGTCGGCCTTGTGCCTGCTCTCGCCGGAGGCTCACCTGTACGCAACCACCCGAGTGCCTTCCTCTGCGGCGTTCGTTTATGGCGATGCGATGAGGAAAACAAAACTGATCAGACTTTGTTTTCTCTTCTTCGCACCGCGCACCTCAGCCAAACGGTGAAGGTGATGAAGGCGGCGCCCGTCATCGGCAAGCAGCCCACGCGCTTCGCCGAGCTGATGGCGAGCCTGGACACGGACAACGTCGATCTCAAGATCACCGTGATGCAGCTGATCAACGCCATGCTCTCGACCGGCGACGACGACGACCACAAGGAGATCAAGGAGACCTTCACCATCGACAAGGTCGTCGACACCCTGCGTAAGGGTCAGATGAAGGAGGCCCTGCACGTGCAGCTCGACATCTTCGACCAGATGATGGACGACCTCAGCCACAGCGAGGACGTCGTCGGCGACAGAGAATATCCTTTCCCACCACCACCCACCTCCTCTTCTTTGCTTTCCTTGCTTTCTTTCTCTCGCTCGCTGCTGCTGCGCCACGGCTCTCTATATTGCGCGCGCGCGCTTTCTCGGTCGTTGCTGTGTGCTATGGGGTCATGTTCCTTAATTCAGGCGCACCGACCAGATCGAGCTCTTCACCCAGCTCGCCAACCAGGTCAAGGGCACGCCCGCCTACGACGTCCTCACCCACGTCCTGCAGCACTTCATGCTCGTCCGCAAGGAGGGCAAGCAAGGGTATCGTCTCCACTCGCTTTTTCCGTTTTCGAATAGGCGTGTGTCGTGTGTCGTGTGTCTGACGCGCACCGTCGCACCACGCGCGCAGTAAAATGTCGTGGGAGGTGATCGACAAGTTCATCCAGATGGCTGCCTCTGCCGAGGAGCACCCCAGCGACGTTCAGCGTACGCTGTGCCTCCTTCTTCGCTTCCCCAGTGCACGTCAAGTTCGACTAACCCACGCGCGACAACACACACACACACACACCAACAGTGGGCCAGGCCGTGTGCAAGGACTTCCTGAAGCTCATCAACGGTTCGCTCGACGTCGAGTCGCTCGCGGAGGCCCGACAGGCGCTGGGCGACGTGCTCGAGGACGAGAGCCTTTCGGCCGACCAGAAGCTCAAGACCCTCGTCAACAAGTACTCCGAGCTCAACGAGGAGAGCGAGATGCTCCGCATCAGGATCAAGGAGCTCGAGAAGAGCGGCGGCTCCGGCGGTGGTAGCGGCGGCTCTGGCGGCGGCGGCGAACTGACGCCGGAGATGAAGAAGATTCTCGAGAACGCCGAAAGCACCAACCAGAAGCTGAGCCAGATCATGCTGGAGCTGACCACCGTCAAGGAGGCCAAGGAGGCCCTCGAACTCAAGCTCAAGGAGGTGGGACCCGTCGCCGTTCTCCATCTCTGCAGCTGCGTCCTTTCGCGCGCGGCTTACTTACACTGACGCTCGCTCCTCCCCATCGTTCGCCTCTCACTGCAGGTCTCGGCCGCCACTGCCGTGGCCGCTGCTCCCCTCCCGCCCCCGCTGGTCATGGATGCCCCGCCCCCACCTGGTACGCCACCTTTCATTTATTTATCTTTATCTTTTTTTCTTCTTCCAAGGTCGACTCTGAGTTTGCCGCCTTGAGTCGTGTTGTTGCTGTACTGCTTCGTTGTGTCGCTGTATATTCGTTTTCTCTTTATTTTTGGTCGCCTTTCTTATCTCCATATCTGCTTCTATCTATAACTCTTTCTCTCTTATCTATCACTCCTATATCCATTGCCTATGCGCCCCTCTCGCTTCAGCCCCTCCTCCGGCTCCTGGTACCCTTCTCTGCCTCCTCTCTCACACTCACTCGAGTCGAGTCGAGTCGAGTCGCTGTATATCTTGAGGCCCGGTCTCTTATCCATTCCCTATTCACCCCTCTCCCTCTCCCTCTCCCACACCACTCTTTCACCTCTTCCCAGGCGCACCGCCTCCCCCTCCCGCCCCTGGTATGTGCCTATATTCCCCATTGGCTGAGCGTGTGAGTCTCAATCGTCCGGCGGTCGCTGTATATGCTATCCACTCTCTCTTGTATATTCATACCTGTCCATCTGTTGCGCGCTCGCTTTTCTCTATATTCTCTTCCCTCTCTCCTGGTTTCCACGACCACAGGCGCACCGCCGCCGCCTCCCGCCCCTGGTATGTGCATGTTCTCCATTCCATTACATGTTTGTGTGCGTGCCTCTATTTATATCCATATATTCATGTATATATCCGTGCATCTCCATTCGCTCAATCTACAGGCGCTCCTCCTCCGCCTCCCGCTCCTGGTATGTGCATATTCTCCATTACCCAAAATCAATCCATATATCCATGTATTCATCCATGTCCACGCATCTATATTCTATAGGCGCGCCTCCTCCGCCCCCCGGACCAGGTACCCATTGTTGGCCGTGTCGCTCTGGCATGGGGTCGCATGTCCCATGATTGCCAGGCCTTCGCCGTTGTCGACTCGTCCCGTGATATCGCTGCGTGCTGTGTTGTTTCGAATTTGATGTCGGCCGTAGTCATCGTCGCGACCGCTCGTCGGCTGTATCAAGCCCCCCGCCCCCCGAGACTCACCTTCTCTTTCTTCTCTCTTCTTCGTTCTTCTTCATTGGAACAGGCGGTCCCCCTCCGCCCCCTCCCCCGGGCGGTGGACCTCCCCCTCCTCCCGGCGCTCCCATGGCTCCTGGCGGCCCGGCCAGTACTACTCCCTGCCTCTCCTCTCCCCCCTCACACAAGGCGAATGCGAGGCGCTGACCCGCACGCGCGTTTTTTCGCTTTCGTTCTTTCTCTCTCACAGCCGGTCGACCCAAGAAGGTGCAGCCCAAGCTCAGCCGACCGGAGGTCAAGATGAGGCAGTTCAACTGGGCCAAGCTTCCCGACCTCAAGACCATGGACACCGTCTGGGGACCCGTACGTGCCTGACATTCCTTGTGTGTGTCGTGTCGTTGGTCGTGTCGTGTGTGCGTGTGCGCTAAGCACGTATCGATTGCCATAGGGTGGTGCTTCGGACGAGAACGTGAAGCTGGACCTGAACGAAATCGAGCAGCTCTTCTCGCTGGCCGAGGCCAAGAAGGTGGAGAAGAAGGACGAGGACGAGCCCGCCAAGAAGCAGGCCGTCAGCGTGCTCGACCCCAAGCGCGCTCAGAACACCTGTACGCTCACCACCCACCCACCCACTCGCCCACTCACCCACTCACCCACCGCCGTTCCAACTGACCACCGCTCGCACCCACACACAGCCATCATGCTTGCCCGTTTCAAGATGCCCTACGCCGACCTGCGCAAGGCCATCGAGGACCTCGACGAGACCATTCTCACCGTGGACAACCTCACCTCGCTCAAGCAGTGCATTCCCACGCCCGACGAAATCGCCGCCCTGAAGGAAATTGAGGGTACGCGTACCTTGACGCTTGCCAGAGCAACCACCACCGCATGTTGACAATTTGTGTGTTGCGTTCCTGTAGATCCCGCGACGCTGTCGGCTCCCGACAAATACTTCCTGGAGGTGTCCAAGGTCCAGAACATGGGTCCGCGTCTCGAGTGCATGCTGACCAAGAACACCTTTGCCAAGAAGGCCGAGACCATCAACACTGTACGTCCGCGCCTGTCACGAAAAGTTTGCGTGTTTCTGTCCAATGCGCTAACACACACTCACCACACCCACA